GTGGCTGCCAGGCCAGTGAGCTTAACCACATTGTCTTCTAAAGACCCCATTCGTTGACATAATAACAGCACTCTTCCCTGAGGAAAAGACAGGCTCCGCCCTTTTCGGGGGTGAGTAAACCTAGGGCCCTGCGATTCTGAAGGGTGACCTGTGCCAATGAGGTGACCTGTTTTTGTAAGGATGTTGGAGATTCTGCTGTGGAAGTAAGTGCTCCTTCAAGTTTTGAATTAATGTCCTTGACAGCCCACAGGGAATGACCTAAGGCTCCTCCCGATAACCCTGCGCTTGCCGCTGAGGCGGTTAATGAAATGCCTATCATTAACGGAGGGAATGCAGCCCGTTTTCCACGTTTTATAGGGTTAAGGATGGATTTTACTTCAGAGTTTCTATAGAGAGTGAGCTTGGAACTATGGTGACTAATAAACATGGGTTAGACATGTTGGAGAGTACAATGTTGGTGAGAGTGCCATTGCACAGAAGAAGAGACTGGTGGGGAGTAAGTGGTGTGGTTGATGGTTAGGTTACGGTGGCAAAAACCTGCCGGAAGGAAATTGGGAGTTGCGGATCCCAGAAGGCAAACCCGAGGAATCATGGTGTGGTTATTTTCCTCGGGTTCCCATAAAGGAACATTCTGCAGGGGTTTCATAGGTTCCCTGTTGTAGGGTGAGTTGGGCAAGCTGGAGACATTCGCACTGGAAACTTTTATTGGAACTTCGGCAAGTAAGGGCCATGCTTGGGAAGCACACAGAGAGCAATTTGCTGGACTTGCAGCGGGGAGAGTTTAGGTAGGACAATGTGTCAGTGATGATCTGTAACCAGGTATAGATGGGTGAAGCCTGAGAGTCAGAAGTGCGTTGGCTTTCTAGGGATGCGAGCAGCCGTTGTTCTGAGTGTTTTGTGTTGGTTGAGACAAGAGAGCCTGGGGACTCTGTGGAAACATATTCCAGGTAATGGATAAGGAACCACAGGGAGTGGAGACATACCTACCGCAATAAAAGGAAGCCTTTACTCCTGCTGCCCAGCGTGGGTTCCCAGGGCCTGGGATGGTCGGCTTGTATTGGTGGGAGGCAGACTCAAGTTTAAATCTTCCTACATTAAATTGCCCTGAATATGCATCATGAATTCTGCATGACCAATAGGGGCAGCCTCCGTAGGTTTCCGGCCACCGTTGCAGTAATCCTTATTTTGGTCATAAAAAAAAAACAAAACAAAACAAAGTGAGGGTGGCTGGCTTGCTTAATGAGCTCAGAGGAAGAGGAAGAGAGTACAATAGAGATGGCTGAGGAGCACCCTGTTAGGGGGCAGTCAGAAGTGGTAGCCAAGTGGGTGGTCTGGGTGTTTTTTGTGTATGTTTCTCTCACCTTGAGTCTCCAGACATACGATGGCGAAGGCATTACCCTTGGGGTGAGGATGAGGATCAGAAAGTTAAGGTTCATTTTTGTATATGTTCTCAGCTATGGTGTAAGGGCAGAAACACGAGAGAGACGAATTTTTAAAAGGGTCAGTAGGGTGGGGAGAGCAAGAGTAGGTAGGTGTGGATTCTTATGAGTCCTCTGGTCGGATGTTGCCAGAATCAGTTTCCTAGATGCATGGTTTGAGCCTGGAAATGTGAATCCATGGAGTTAATTGATCATTTGTGAGTCTGAGTTTTGCTGCTGAGGGAGTGCATGATAACCGAGGCAGGGCCCTCCCATTTGGGGCATAGTTGGGGTCTTTCACCTGGGAGGCAGTAATATACCTGTTGGCCGGGTGTTAGGGTGAGGGGGTTTTGAGTAATGGTTGGGTCAGGTAAAAGCCAGTCCTGGTATTTCCAAAGTTCAGAGCGTAGATGGAAAAGGAGAGGTGGAGCGTAGGAACAGGTATAGGTAACTGTTCAGTCTGTATTCCAGGGGGTAAGAATGAACGGCCGTC